CTATATGCTCCTTTTGAAGCTAATGGGTTTCCTTCTCTTAATTTTCTGCTTTTCCTGACCTCCTGTGTTCTAGACTGATGTGGACATATTTTGTAATCAATCAGTCCCTGCCTGTAACAGTTTTTTCTTTAATACTTGTTCAAACAGAAATTCAGATAAAGGTGTCCCATTTGTATGCAAGAGGAAACGCCTGCCTCCTTTTCAGATATCCCTGCAAATACTCCATGCTGATTTCTTCAGCGCTGAATAGAAATGTTAGAAATGTCTGAACAGAATGTCAAACAAATATAAATGTGCTCTGGTCTCTTGAAATGATCCGATTTAGTGCTTTGTGGTAAATTGAGGTCCACCTTTGCCTTTGTCAGGAGAAGGGACTAATTTACCTGATCCTAATACGCTCCCCCAAAGCCTTCGTTAACTCGTCCTCACCAAAGGCTTGTATCGGGTATGGTCAACAGTGTTAGTGGATCTCAAAGCTTCTGACCTGACATGTGACGGACTTCTCCCATCGAACACAGCCAGGTCCTTCTGATGTCTACTCTTTGGGGCTAGAGGCCCTCTTTCTCACCTTTGAGAAGTTGTAGGCATGCACACATGTGTATCTCCTCTTTGCAAAGAGCCACTTCTGCATTTATCTCAGCTCTTTATCCTTCTCAGAAGCATATGACATTAGGAACAGTTCTGAAGTAGGCTCTCTAGATGCTTTTGCTTCCAGCCTACCTCCTCCATCCAGAGTAATCCATCTAGCTTATGATTAAGTCACTGGTAGCCAAGTGCATGATTCCAAGTGCAGAGAACCGGATTTATGTGCCAGAGAGTTTATCAGTCAATAGTTGCTTTGGGGATGTGTATTCTCAGGCAGGAATTGCCTGAAGGAAGGGAGAATGGGAGAATGGATAATCTGTATGGATATGTTTCTGTTAAGGGTGGCTTTGGGTCTGGACATCTGGATGCAGAATTGATCCTTGGAGGACTTTGAGTTGAAGACCACCTTGAAATGCTGATACGTGTAACAGGCTAGTGCATCCCATCGGCGTGAGATGCTGTTGTGTGGCATTTCAGCTGCAGAAAGGCAGAGTTTCCTTGAACGTGTAGCCTGGTGTGCTTTTGAAAACAACAGGCCTGTGCCTCGCTAGCAATTACCACCAGTGGAAGGCAGTTTGGGTTGTGTTCAGCAACCTCTGCCTCTCGGTCATTACTGTCTCCTGCCTAATTGCTGTTGGAGAGGAAGAAAATATCCGAATGGAAGGAAGTCCTCTCCTCCTCCCAGCTATGTACAGAAGCTCTCTTGGTCTTGAAATGACCCCAGGTCCTGCAGTTACGGCATTAGCTTTGGCACGTCACTCTCCTATCCTCATAAGGCACATCCCCACCATGCAGCCACGTGGACTCTTTCCTGCTGGCATGCAAGGTTGTGTCAAAAGTGCAAATGCAGGTGTCCACCCTGGTCTTTTAGTAGCAATTAACCTTTCCTCCTGGGCTTCCTTTGAAGCTTGCTCATATTTTTATTGTAAAATAGCAGTGAAGAATTTTATGGAAGCTAATATCTAAGCTTCCACATTACCTAATCTCATCTGTTTCCTTATCAGGGGCCTCAATTTTTATTTCATCCCATTTCTGGTGGAGATAATTACTGGACTTTAAAGAAGCCATCTTGAATTTCAAAGCTGCAGTGCTATCTGTGTAAATGGCTTGTAGTCACCAGGAAAGTGATACATACCAACACAGTCCCTGGATCTAATTCCAACCTCACAAATATTTTGTATCAGTCAATATCCCATGGTTTTGCTAGAAGTCCCTCTGATCCATCTGGGTGTAAAATTTAGGTGTAATAGTTCCACACCCTTTGAAAATGAAGACCAAGATCCTGGTTCATGGACATTGATTTTAATATAGCTCCTTCCATCATAAATTTCACAAATATATCTTAATGGTCTTCCCGTCTCTTGGTCAGTCATAATTCAACTTGTTGTTTATTTTGAGGTTTTAAAATATATTTTTGTTAGAATATGTTGCTATTTCAGGCAGAAGAATATTTCAGTAATCCATTTTACCCACACTGTTAGGGTTTTGGGGCATATTGGCACATTATATTTTCCAGACTTTTCAAACTGAAAAGCCCGTGTTTAACGACGACGTCGGGTGTGGCTGCTGGAAATCAAAGGAGGCACAATAGACTCGGCAAACGGACTTGTCTCCCTGCCAGCCTTCCAGAGGCCAACTTATCAGCTGCAGGTTTGACCCTATATGGCTAAAAATGAGTGTAGCCAGAATGACTGAGATAAGTATAACTGAGGCCTTTGAGTCTGCGAGAGAGAAATTAAACTGGATGGTCCCTAGGGGACAAGAAACATCTGCAAAGCTGCGCTTGCTAAATGTTTAAGGCGCAGCTTATGGGCAGGCGCTGTTGGCAAGTGGGCCTGAGGAAGGTGGCTTTTTGGGGAAAGGCACAGATCAGGTCGTTGCTTACTGTGACTTAAACGATCTGGCTGAGCTGCCTCATTGTTTGGTGGAGGAGAGTTGAGTGTGGCCATGGGGCACAGGGAGAGCCTTGGATTTGTGGGACACTGCTTGGTGAAATGGGGACAACAGCAGTGAGCACGTGAGATGGGTTTTTTAAGGAGTTTGAGTGTCAGTCATCCAGCTGTCATGGAAAATCAGTAGGATTTAAATGCCTGAAGTTTTAAAAAAGCCTCTTCTAGTGAGCCATGTGCTTATCATCATCCAGATCACTTTCCTCGTGTGATTTCTCTTCCTGCACCCCATGTGTATACATGGGTTAGTTTGGTTTTTTTTTTTTTTTTTTTTTTTTCTTTTCCCCTGTTTTAAAAACAGATGAAGTCTTTTAGGCAGGACTGCAATCTAAACAGTTGGGGGAAGACGTCTGAAAGGGAGCAAGCCTGCCCTGGGTGGATGCAGCATCGCTGCCAGCCTGTGAAGGCAGGGAGCACATCAGAGTTTTGGGGATGCTCACGAGGTGTGGATCAGACTCTCTTCCCCCATCTCACTGAGCTGGAGCAGAGCTGCATTTGGGGGCAGCAGCAATGCCATGGTGTAACAGAAATGGCTGCTGATGTGGTTGTCTCAGTGCAGGCTGAAGTGAATGGTGGCATCCAGGTGGAGCTGTGCCTCTACCCTTTTCACCTCTTCTTTCGTCTCCCCTGAAGTTCCCGCTGAGTTTTGCTGTGGGCAGGAAAGTACCAGCACGGGCTCATAGGTGCTGGGCACAGAGCAAGGTCTCTGCACCAGCGCTCTTGTGAACCTTTGAGAGTCTTCGCCGAACTTGGCACTGCTGAGCTATGACAGGCAGGGTTTCTGAAGCATAAGCAATGGAAAATCCTTCTGTGTGTCCTTCTCGGCTAAATAGTAGAGTCAGTCGAGATTTTCTACTTCTCAGAAAGCCAGGTATTGGAAAAGTGACAAACTGATCGATATTGGGTTCAACTGTTAAAGGGCAGGGAGAGTCTGCCAAACCAGAGACTAGGGGAACGGGTAGCTGAACTTTCTTGTGACACGTATGAGGTCATTGCCCGTGCCACATAAAAGAAAGAAAAACAGTTCATGGCTGTGAATAAATTGCTCACAGATGAAGAATCCAGTTTGCCAGTCATGTGATGGGAGCAATCTATTCGAATGATTTGTTATGTCGCAGTGTTTGTCTTAGGCAGTACCAGAAGTATGAAAGTACAGATATAAAACTGTGAGATAATATATAACAAAGATATGAGACATAATGGGCTATGACCAGTTTCCAGTGGAAAAGGCATACGGTGCTAATCTACCATGGATAGTTTCTTAAATGAGCAAGAAATTGAAAGAACATTTTGAAGTTTCCTGTTTCTTCACTGAAACGGAGTCATTCTGAATGCCAAGCCCAGTGTAACGCTTTAATTTCTGGGCCAACCATATTATGCAAATATCCTCATGCTCGGATTTTAAATATTTGACCTTTCAACTTCACTTCTTGGAGAATTGTATTCTTGCCTCCTATTTAGGTTACAATTAAGTGGAGTGAGTTCTGCTGTGTATGAAAAATATGGTAACACTAATAAAGTTACATGGATGTAAATAATTAAGCGTTTTTTGGTTGTTTTGTCTTTTTGCTCTTTTCACATGTATTACTAGGTTGAGTACTGTATTGCTGGTGCAGCTAAAGTCCCTGCTGAAGTCACTCAATTTTTTGACTAAAAGGAATTTATAATCAGCCTTACATTTTGAGCTGTCAAATACAGTGAGTTTTTTTTTCTTTTTTTTTTTTTTTTTTTTTTTGTTTGCTGGTTAAGCCCCAGACATTTTTTTTTTTTTTTTTTTTTTTTTTTTTTTTTTTTTTTTAAATGTGCTTTGGCTCTGCCCCAGATTTTTTTTTTGCAACTGTAAGAGGAGAAGGTTCATGTTCTCTATAAGGTGCTGCTTGGATCCTGAACTTATTTTAGACCATTACGTTTCTTGGAGGTCAATGTTAAGACACTGATTTACATCTGCTGAAGTTCTTGCCAAGGGTTGTGTGGTAGGCTGGGTCCTTTCTTCCAAAGACTAATTGGAGGCCATCAAACTTAATTTTGGCTACTTTAGGTTCAAGCTGTCTCTCTGAAAGACCAGGAAAGCTTTCCTGCTTTTCACTTCACTTAGATTTCAGTTGTAACATATAATGCTGGCTTTCAATTGTAATTTCAAAGAGTATGCAATGCAAAGTGCTCTATCCGGACCAGATTGGACAATATGCTTGCATATACATCTGTATGTAATTCCCTCACTTGTGTTCAATGATGTAAACCACTTTTGATGTCAGGAATATTCAGAAACACTGTGTACCCCCAGGCCTACCATAGGGAAAAGGCTCAGCTCCTTCCAGAGGGAGGCTCTGCTGCGGGACTGGTGATTGATGAAGGTGCCGTCTGCCTACCAAACTGTCCTCTCCATTTCATGTGCAGGCTGAAAGGGTTTCATATGCAAAATCCATCAAGATATTTTAAATCCTACTGTTTGGCTTTATTTTCCAGGTGATGAATGTTTGTACGAAAGATTTCCTGAACTTCCTTTGGAGGAAGCAACAGAAGCTGATGGAGAGCCTGCAAATGTCCAGTGTCCAACATCTGTCAGCATTCAAGAGCCGTCTTCTCCAGCAACCTCCAGCGAAGCTTTCACACCAAAGGAGAGCTCTCCTTACAAGGCTCCAATATATATTCCCGATGACATTCCCATTCCTTCAGAGTTTGAACTCCGAGAATCTAACATTCCTGGAGCGGGATTAGGGATATGGACCAAAAGGAAGATTGAAGCAGGGGAAAAATTTGGCCCTTTTGTAGGAGAGCAGCGGCCACACCTTAAAGATTCCAGTTATGGTTGGGAGGTAAGACACTGTGCATTCTTTCGGTCTGTTGAACTCACTTGCTTGTCTATAAACACAGAAATGTCTGCAGAATTTGAGTCCTATCCTGCAGCAGCCAGGGGATATTTGTGTGCACGAAGACTGCTTTGTGCCCTTTTGGGGTTTTCTGGATGGAAACAAGTGTAAATTAAAAAAGAAAAAAGGCAGGACTTATTGTTGCTCTTCACAAATGAAATTTGTCTGGGTTGATGTTGGCAGGTGACGCCTCTTTTGGGGAAAGAAAGGAAGAAATTGTGTTGTTGCAATATTTCTGTACCATTTTTAGCCTGCTCTTGGGCAGTCCTGCAGTATGACTGTGGGTGAAGGATTTGCAAAAGACACCATATTATCCAGTTGAAAAGAAACTGTGTGCCTTTTTCAGGGTTGTGAATTGCTCCTTTCTGTCAACAGTGATTCAAATAACCCTAAAATCTAGTATTATGTGGCTGAAATTGCTGTTGCAGATCCTCGTGCTGCTTGGGGACTTCAAAAGCTGGGGGTTTGATCCTGCTTCCATTTAACTTAACGGGAATTTTGCCATCCATTTGGTGAAGTATGTTTGGATGCTGGTGTCAAACCTAGCACACAATGTGGCTCATGTTATTTTTGAAGGTGCTCTGAGAAATGTTGCTTTTCCTGAAGGAGCTCAAGGCCTCCTTTGGCGAGTACAGGGGTTGCCTCTTGCTTCCCCTGCCTTCAGGGCAACATGTTTTTCTCCCTGTGATATTGCCATGGATCTGTCTCAGCTGCAGATCTATGTCAGGTCGGGGCTTTCGACCTCAAGTGGCACCCGGTGCCAGTTCTGTCATGGTGTAACAAATGCTCTTGCATGGTTTTATTCATAGTTTTAACAATGTGCTGTAGAAACAGAGTGTAATCTCAGCTTTCCATCTGCACGTTTCCTTTGGTTTCTGATAAGGGGAGCAGTGCAAAGTTTGCATGGCTCTCCAGGGGCACGACTGACCTCTGGAGAGATGGGAGGTTCATTTTCCCAGGAAAAATGGAGTTTTGCTGTTGAGCAGAGCCTTGCAGATATGGTGGAAAATAGAGGTTTGATTTGCTCTTAACTGTCCATAGATACTTGGTGAGTTTGTTCCAAACTTTCCATCCAGTTGTTTAAACTCTTGTGAGACCTGTGACAATATGACAGAATAGTGTCAGGAGAAATTATAGACTTGGCAGCACTCTATTGAGTTAACAGACCCTGATGCAATATAATTGCTGGTGAGAAATCTTTATTATTTGAAAAAGGCACCAGGAAACCATGAAATCTGACCTTTAACCACACCACAATTAAGCTCAGATATTGACAACAGAAATTGGAGCAAAGCTGCAGAGATGTGGTTGTACTTGCAGATATTCCAAAATTGGGGTATTTTAGAATGGATCCTCAGGTGGTGTAGTACAGAATAGCCCCACTAAAATTGAGGGGAAACCCTTCTTGATTTTCACACCCTTAGATGCTGATAATATGCTGCAATATTAGAGGTTACTTTTCTTGCTTAAAATATTTAGGACTTTGGGGTCTACAAAATTCAGACAAGAAATGTATATCTTGATGGTGCTGGAAACCCAGCTGGTGGATTGAATCCCTTTCAAGCTGTGGGACTCGTGCCATTTGAACAGTGTTGTGTATTTGGGACAGCTGGGGAGAAGCTATTGAAAAGTATTGGAGCAAAATCACACAAAATCAACAGTTGAGTCCCTCTGCAATTTGACCACTCATCCAGAAGTACTCTGCAGTGCTCAGAGGAGCTTGAAACAGAATATTTTTCCAACAAGTAGGTTAAGTACATTTATTGTAATTGAAGGTAGACAAAGAAATGCTGATTACCAGAGCTTACACAGTGAGTAAAATGGCTTGTAGTGAAGGTTAAAGTTAAAGAACAGGTGTGGGAGGACCTGGTATTGTTGGAGAAAACCTTACCAGTGCCCATCCCAGCCCACATGCTCATCATCACACTGCTCTGGAAACCACCACTTCCTTGGACCTATGCCTTGGGATAAAAAAGGGAGAAAGAAGCTGTTACTGGTGTGTGAGCTCAGGCAGTGTCAAAGGAAGCATGGGATGGTGAGGGAAAGATATCACTGATTGAGGTTTAGAGTACGGTCTTGGAAATTTAAGCTATTCTGGTGTCAGTTTTTCTGCCTCAATGGGGACTTTTGTGAAATAGGGTGTTTGTCCTGCAAGGTGTCAATAAGGCAGTTAACAAATGGGAGAATTTGGTCTGCTGTTGCTGTCATCAAGGTGAAATTTCGTTATTATATTTTAAGTGAAGGATGGAACCACAGTTTCTATATGGTACTAACTGTGGATTTCAGAGACTTTGTAGTATGAAAGGTTTTAAAATTGTAGAATCATAGAAAATCTTTCTTTCCTCAATGATATTTGTTTGCTGAGTGAATTGCACTGATGTAGATACTGTCACGATGTTCTCTTACATTTGGTTATATGTAATTTCTAGAGGAGTTCATGATGTTCTAGAGGTTGGCTGTGTCTGGTGGCTTCAAAAGGCAAGATGTCTTGACCTGCTCAAGCTGCTTGCTGGTCCCACAGGCCAGAGAAAGCATTGTGCTGTGTCCTGGCTTACTCGTTTCTTCACCTCACATGTGCATTGCTCAGAGAAATACATAAGTGGGGTTGCAACTTTGCTAATGCTTGTGTACTTATTTAATTATCTTGAATAGACTACACTGTGGCTACAGAGAGGATGATTAAGTTATTGGAAAAATCAATCTTTCCATTTTATCTGTATTTTTCTGAGTTTAAGGTGAAACACTGAATGCACGATGGTATTTGACTTTTAAAGATGATGAAGGAAGAATCTCTTTTCAAGAAAATATTTGGCATAAAAATTAAAATATTTTTTGAAGGAATGCTGAGCGTCTTCTCGGCTATTGTATGCATATATTAATGATTTTGCTGTGAAAGATTTTCTCCTTTTGTCCAATTGTTTAGGATTGCTAGGTAGCGTAGAGTCTCAAATTTGAAAGTTTCAACCCAAAACACACTGGGACTGTATCTACATTTTTTTGAAAGGAAGTTTTTATAACAGACTATGCTAAATTCCCTTGTGAAATGTTGTCATAGTTTTGGGTATTTCCAGCTGTGGAACACTTCTGACTTGCAGTTTTTGTGACTGATGTCCGTCTGAGTTGATACTAGGATTAGCCTGTAGTGGTTGGGAGAGAAGTGGAAGCTGGAGAAACTGCTGCTGTTAAATTTTGCAGCCAGGAAGTTGATGTTAAAGAAAAATTTGCTGCAGAAGGCTGAGGAATTTCATGGGTCCTGTTCCTATATTCCCCTATAGCAAGACTCTCTATGGTGTCAACGCAGAGTTTTGTCAGAGCAAGTCCAAGAAAACAATGTCTATTGTGTCCATTTATACACTTCAGCCATAAAACACACTCTGGGACAAAGAGAATTTGTTGTGATATAGTTGTGGTTGGGTCATGATTAGAGTGCTGTAGACCAGTTTAAATGAAAAGCCATAAATTTGAATTTTATCTCATTTTGTGGGTCTAGAGCGGAGCATTATCTAATCAGGTATTGGTTAGCTAAAGTACAAATCGAACAGGGGGTCACCGGACAAGGGGAAAGGTCGAGCTTTTTTGCAGTTTGTCACCAAGGTTTTAGTATTTGCCGGCAGCCCGAATATCCGAGGGGGTCGGGAGGCTGTTGCTCAGTGGTTGTTTGAAAAGGGAAAATTGACTGCTGCTTAATCAACAAAGAAAACAAGCTTTTAAGGGATGGCAGTAATTTTTTTTTAAACAAAAGCAAGGGAACACAAATTTAGTGATTTCATCATGGTTCATGCCCTGCTATGAAAAACAACTGTGAGAGTATTTCAAAGAAAGCCTTTGAATAGGTCACCAAAGCACATGCACCTATCTTTGACCGGCATTTTCAGGAGTACGTTGAATATTCAAATTCAGGTCTCTTACTGCTGTAACAAACTCTAAGTCTCATTCGTAGGGACAATTTCTTCACAGCTCTTTTTATCCTAAACTTTAATTTCTTTGCTAGGAAGGCAAAACCAGGAGCAATATAGTCTTATAAATCAAACTTGTCACAGAAGTAAAAAATATTTTAAAGCTTTATAAAGCAGCATATAATCTCTTTGTAGAACAGAGTATATTTTCCTGTCATGACAGTAAGGCTGAAAAACTTCTCAGATTTGGTAGAGTATGTTTGAGCTGACACTATTATTTCTAAACAGAAATTAGGAGGCCCTTTGGCTATTTGTTTACTTCTCCTCTAACCTTTATGATGTGAGTCTTTGGGGAAAGCTGCACAGCTTCCTAAAAATTGTTCTGGAGTACAGGCTTCCCACTGGTATATAGGGACTGGAATAGTTGCAAATTTAAGTTTCAATTCTGCACTCTTTGTCTTTCTTTTGGTATTTTAAAAATTTAAATTTAGGTTTATTTGAGATTCTGTGTTCTAGGTGTACTATCTATCTTTATGAAAATTAAATAATAAGTTACAAATTGTAAAGGTGTAGGCTTTTAGAGTTGAAGTCTAATGGTGTGTTCCCAAATCCAGGTTGTAACACCTAAACCAATAGCTTGGTTTTCTTACCTGAAAACTTCCACTGTAACCAATGGGAGTTACCAGCGGTTTCCTCTCCATGTATAGAGGTCATCCCCTATTTCTGGGTCCTTCTTTGGAAAATCTTTGTTAAAATGGTGGATGTAGCATCTGTCTCTTTTTTTTTTTTTTTTTTTTTTTTTTTTTTTAAATAAAAATAGAACAAACAGTAGCATCGTCTAAATGACTGCACATGGGATTCATACATCTTAACTCACGTTAATAAATGCTTAATAAACAGTGACAGTGTGACAGTGCTGAGGGAAATAACTCCATTGTAGTCAATGAAATCACACTGGGAGAGAGCAGTAGATTGTCTTTTTCAAAAAGGAAAAATAAAAGGGACAAAGACTTCATTTCTGAATGTTTTCCTTTGAAATACGGATTTTTG